ATAAAATTACGTTTAACGAGTTCGAAACTAGAACGCGATAGTAAACGTACGAGAGAGTGTAGTTCTGCTAGCTGTGCCCAGTTTTCTAGTGACTAGGAAAGATTCAGTAACGAGCCCACTGCCGCCGTTTTGCGCATTTTCGCTCACAAGATGGCGCCTTTGCTCTGCATCAGCCCCAGCAGCAGTATAGATATAGATCCTAAGTGACGCCAGAGCACGTATATCAAATAATACGCATTGCGTAGTAATGTACAATGATATGCTGCGTCTACGTACTACAGTGAAGTATAGTCACGTCATAACGAGAGAATAAGAATCTAGGCTGAAGTAAAGAACCGTCAACGACCACTTGCCGAAACTGTATTGCAAGTGCATCGCAGAGTTTATCTCTTGATAGTCAGGCTTACACTGTGTTGCGTAATAAAGAGAAATCCGTAGTGAGAGAAAAGCTGGTGATAGAGATGCCAATAATACAACGCGCGTAGGCAGTAGCATGGGGAGTTTTTCAACGAATAATTTGTTTAGTCTATAACTAGCATTAGCGGTGTACATAGGCCATATACACCATTTTCTCGGTGAGTGAATTGTTGTTCGCGTGTGGTGACAAACTGTAATGACAAAGATGACGATGATGGTGACAACGATGATGATGACAACGATGATGATGACAACGATGATGGCGATGATAATGATGATAATAATAATAATAAAATAATAATAATAATAATAAAATAATGTATTTAAGAGTTGAAAGTTAAGCCTGATCAAGCGCCCCCAAGATCGTGGTAACATGTATAATGGCTCATGTAGAATTAGGCTATATCACGATCATTATATTACGATATATTATTCGTTATAAAATCTCTATACTCCATACAGGTTTCCTTCGGAATTACATGGCGAAAAAACGTAAATATTTTCGTAGCTTGAAAAGTGAACGGCGTGTAAATAGAAACGCCGCTCCTTGTAAAACTACCGTTAGAGATGTGAAGAACAATTAGACCACAGCGAGTGGGGTGAAGCTAGGTAACCACCCGCCACTTATAGGTTCGGTGTAGCTGCCTCATCTACTGTATACATGATGGAAAAAACCACGGGGTGCGTCGTTAAAAAACAAAATTAGTTTTAACATTAACTTTTCTCGTAGAATTTCTTTTCGATTCGTTTCTTACTCTTTAAGATTTACTAGTTTACAGTTTCGCTTAGTTAACTAGTTTTGGTTCTGACAACGGTCCCCTGGTGTAATTTTTCCTCGAGTAGGCACGGCTTGGGAGAGTTATTTTGTATAGTAACCTATATACTTGTATCATGTTTATATTATTTATTTGTTGAAAAAAACACCCGACTAATGTCAAATATATCGTTGTTAGCGTATCACTGGGATTACTGTGCGAGCTTTCGTGCATGCATGCATGCCTGCGTGTGTGCGCGTGTACGCCAACACGTGCAATGTGTGCAAGAAAGAAGGAGAATAAGGAACAATCATTACTGCAACTCTTTTCATTATTGTATAGTACAAACACACAAACATTTGTAATAACAATAATTATATATATATATATATATATATATATCTTGATATATATATATATACACAGTCAAGTACTTGCTCTTCATGCACGGCTTACATTAAATAGTCTTTTACTATATCATAAACTGTAAACGGTAAAAGGATTCTCGAAAAAACAAATAGTGTTTATAATATCAGACTTGTATATATATATATATATATATTATTTCTCAAAATGTCAATCAATTCAATATCACAAATGCGACGTTTAACGTTTAGCGTAATCTCTAGCACTAGGCGTAAATAGACCCTGGAAAGTTTTACTTTGCTAACGAGCGCTAACAAATAAGGAGCGTCTGAAATATGCACACGTATGCATGCGAAATTCACAAAAAGACATCCTACCTATCTTTGCCCTACAACTCCACCATCGCAAGGCACGATCCCGGATAAATTAATACCCAGGGACCCCAAAAATGGATTTTTCATATAACCCCTTTTAACAGTTCATTTACAAACGGTTAAAAGGGAGGCTACAAAGTATCGTGCAACAAAGGCACTGCATGCACAAGCCAGTGAAAACGCCTTTTAGTTTATCAAACATGGAATATATCATCTCTAGCGTTCTGGATCTGGATCTGGATAGTTTACTGCGTAGCCCACGGTTACGTAGATAATAACGCAGGGACATTCCGTAAGGAATAAACGTCCAGGGCTATAGCTAGCCATGAGGTGTGACCTAGCTTTGGTAAAGCCAGATAGTTGGCCTTTTAGCCGAATGGCATTACGCATTCTATCATCACAGCACTCCATGATATGAACTTTGGCTGCAATAATTACCATGAACATATGCATACCTTAGTGTGTGTATATATATATATATATATATATATATATATATATATACGTATATATACATGTTATTACGTAACCCCTATTTGAACTGTATAAATATATAGATACTCAATCTAATAAATCTTTGACGTCCTTAGCGAATGGCAGCTCCAGGGAGGAAGGTGTACGAAGGCATCGTACTCATACGAAGCATGAGTATTGACATATAGCAATACATGCATAGCTTCAATGCATTGCTACCAACGTATGGGACCCTTGTAATTGCTACCCATTTCCTGAAGCAATGATTACTACACAAGTAGCAAAATGATATGGCCATAACTGTTGTGCTTCTATTTCGTGCAGGAGTCGCTCTTTATAACATAGTTCCTCAAGCACTTTCCAAGGATGTACATCTAAACAGAGCATCCACGCCTCACCACCGACAGTCTCCTAGGATACCATGACCAACTAGAAAGGGCAGTTGTTGCCAACTACATGTATCCCCCGTGTTCTCCCCAAGATGTGTAAGTATACGAAGTTTGATCGCGCTAGGTCAATTAGGGGCCAAGTTATAGAGCGGAAGGGAAATATGACGAAGGTCAAGGTCAAGGTCAAATAAAGGTTGCAGTCACCTAGTTTCGGTACGCGACACACCTTCTCCCCAAGATGTGTAAGTATACCAAGTTTGGTAGCGCTAGGTCAATTAGGGGCCGAGTTATAGAGCGGAAGGGAAATATGATCAGTCAAGGTAAAGGTCAAATAAAGGTCGTAGTGACCTGGTTTTGGTAGCGCTAGGTCAATTAGGAGCCGAGTTAGAGAGTGGAAAGGAAATATGATCAAGGTGAAAGTAAAGGTCAAATAAAGGATGCAGTGACCTGGCTTTGGTACGCTGCTCACCTTCTCCCCAAGATGTGTAAGTATACCAAGTTTGGTAGCGCTAGGTCAATTAGAGAGCAGAAGGGAAATATGATCAAGGTCAAGGTAAAGGTCAAATAAAGGTCGCAGTGACCTGGTTTTGGTACGCTGCACACCTTCTCCCCAAGATGTGTAAGTATACCAAGTTTGGTCACGCAAGGTCAATTAGGGGCCGAGTTAGAGAGCGGAAAGGAAATATGATCAAGGTCAAGGTAAAGGTCAAATAAAGGTCGCAGTGACCTGGTTTTGGTACTCTGCACACCTCCCCAAGATGGGTAAGTATACCAGGCCCGTAGCCAGGGGGGGTTCGGGGGGTTCGAATGAACCCCCCCCAGCCCCAAATTTTTTTGAAAATTTGCAAGAATTTCACCTCAGGTCGCTCCATTTTAGTGTATAATTGCAAAATCTCCATCGTGCGGGAGGGTGAACAGTGAACACCCCCCTCCACACCGCTCCCCCCACTCGGTCGCTTGGCTCCCTCGCCTGGTCGCTTCGTGCCGAGCAGGGGCGTGTACAGGGGGGGTCCAGGGAGTCCGGACCACCCCCTTGCTCGCGCAGAAAAGCATCTGAAAGGGTCTAATTTTAAAAATTTCCCCAGACCCCCCCTTCGCGTGCTCGCAACTTTGGGTTACGGTTAGACACACCCCTGGTATAAATCCTGTACATGCCCCTGCCGAGCAAATTGCCAACATTGAAAAACGAACCCCCCCAATATAAAGCTGGCTACGGGCCTGAGTATACCAAGTTTGGTCACGCTAGGTCAATTAGGGGTCGAGTTATAGAGCAGAAGGGAAATTCTCTGCGGCGGACCGAGCGGCGGCGGCGGCGGCGGCTGGGGAGACATGAAACCATAGTATCCCCGCCGACTTCGTCGCAGGGGATACAATTACATGCACGCATATGCACGCATATACACGCGGTTACACGCGTCGTGCGCGCTGCTACGCGCATCAAAACACAGTCATGAGAGCAGCTACACGCGTCTAAACACGGCTACCCGCGTCGGCACATGCATGCATCACGATGTTCCCCGTCCATCTTCGTTCCCACGATCATTCTGAAGCCCTCCCTAGCTAGCTCACACAGCTGCTTGCAGCAGCAGCCGACCGTACCGTGCCGCGTTCACAGTTTCCCTTCATCAGTTCATTATAACATCTCTTCCAGCATTCATTGGCGAATTACTCTGCATCAACTGGCCGATATTATCACAGAATAGAAATTGCAGCACATCATCACATTAACACGTATAGCTCTTAACACAGCAAGTTTTGAACTGTTTCTCTTAGGCAATGTCAACGGTCAATGCCAACAGTCAATATCAATAGTCAATGTCAAAAGTCAATGGTCTGCCATCACGGGTGCATTGTGACGAACGGTCCACGTGGTCTTGCTTTGAGACGGCATGAACCAGTTATTTCTGGTTTACGGCAGAAAAAATCTACTTGCTCCAATGACAAATTGAAAGCGTCTCTGCTCACCCAAGGATTGAACTTAATCCTCTCCAATCTGCAATTTTCTCAATACGATATGAACCGTGACTGAATTATGCACTGCACTGCATCCTGTACAAAGTTAGCAGGGTTAGTTAGGACATAGGTTGCCTTGTTGATCCTTACTAATTCCTTATGCACAAGTATCGAGAAAAAAGCGTTTATGGATATGCACTTATGATCACAAGCACTCAAATACAATAGGGTACATTACTTACTTAAATACAATACCCACACGTACACATATAACGGTAGAGGAATTTACTCGACATATAATATAATCACATTTAATAATTCCTTCTTAGAGAAATTTGCATACAAGGCACGCCTTAACTTACGTTAGAAAACAACTCCTAAGAATCAGTAAACTTACACACGTCAACTCTGGCAGTATAACCTCAGCTAAGTATTTGTGCGCTGTGTGTGGTTGTGCCACGGATGTGATGAGGTCCACGCATAAGACTGGGGGGAGGGGGGTGCGCACACCAATCACAGGCGAAAGTTGTTACCAACCACCGTCACGGCAACTCGCACTGACGCATGCACCCGATAACGGCCTGCATAATGCGAGCAGTGCAAGCAGCGTGGCATCAACCCTGAGCTTAGTCGTGGTCTCCGCACTGCCTAATCTAGTCTCAATCCGCTCACTTATAATACCTTGCCGGACTCAGCCCGACCCACGCCGCAGTGAACATGTCCGGCAACGTTAAAAACAATTCTAAAAACCGACTCAAAAAATTATTGTCTGAGCAACCTACAGTAGAGTGACTGTTCAACATCCAACTAGGATCATAAAAAAACTCATCCGTCTTCAATACACACGCACGCACGCATGCACGCACGCACGCGCGCGCGCACACACACACACACACACACAATTAATTTTAAAACGCTCCCAACGAGAAATGTTGTAGAGCGTTTGTACAAGACTAAACCTCGAGTCAGCGGCAAGCTTTCGAGAGGGAAGATTGAGCCTCATAGTCGGAACTCTAAGTTCTCACGGCTGTGCCTGTGCAAGCTCGATGTCTTTGACTAAATGCACAGCAGAGTAAGCATTATTTCATCCTCACGTCGTCTGAATCTCGTGCGAGCACGCAGAGTTCTCATCTCCTTGCTGCAGCGCTGATGATCTGCCGCATCGTAACGCACATAGCACGACCTTGACGCCACTTGTAGATGTCCGTCGCAGACACGCTCTCTCGTGTTTGCGCGTTTGTGCGACAGGGCGATGTGGCGCGACTCATCACAGACCGACACACATGATCTCCTTCTCCACGTCTTGCTGGAGTTCCACCTCGCTGGCGAGCGCGACTCGCTTCTCCGCGGGCGTTCTACAGCATGACACCAGAAAATATGTGTAAAAATATAACAGACATATACACACACGTGCACGTAAGCAAGCTCGCACGCACGCACACACACACAGACACACAAATATTGATGTCGGCAAAATATGCAAGTCAGCGAAGATACATAAGTATACTGTACATGATTCACCAAATTGCGAATAATATTTTCATGTGCCATTTGCATCACATTGAATGTTGGGCCATGTTGCACTGTAACTTGCAGTGTAAATTTCACTTCTCAATCAAGCAAGCAAGCAAACAAGCAAACAAACATTCTTTCTCCCACTGCTTGACAGTAAAGACATCAAAGATCGATGAAAAAAATGGATCGCTCAGCGGACGCGTTCATCGACTGTGTCACGTACTTGAGGTCGGGTGAGTACATCATCTTGCGCAGGCCAGGCGTGGCCATCAGCAGCAGACTGCTGACTATCACTGTAAACCCGCCCGTGTAGAAGGTCCAGCTGAATGTACCGAGGCAATCCACGAGTAAACCTACACACAATAACAGCAGCAAATATAGTCATATTCACCTGCAATGCACGAACAAACCTACACACAACAACAGCAAATATAGTCATATTCACCTGCCACGCACGAACAAACCTACACACAACAACAGCAAATATAGTCATATTCACCTGCCACGCACCAACAGACCTACACACAACAACAACAAATATAGTCGTATTCACTTGCCACGGACCAACAAACCTACACACAACAACAGCAACAACAGTAGTATCCTCCTAGTAGTACTCCTCACAAACCCCCCAATTAAAAGAGTAACACGCACCACCTACAACAGCCCATAACAACAACCCTGCTCCATGGAACAGCATGCACAAGCCTCACCCCTCACAAACCCCTAATTAAAAGAGCAACACGCACCACCTACAACAGCCCTGCTCCATGGAACAGCATGCCCAAGCCTCACCCCTCACAAACAACTGGTAAAGAGAGTAACACACACTGCCTACAACAGCCCTTATCAAGAACCCTACACCCTGGAACAGCATGCGCCCGACTCACCCCTCACAAACCCCCGATCGCGAGAGAAACACACACCGCCTAAGACATCACCAACAAGAACCCTGCTCCCTGGAACAGCATGCACAAGTCTCATCCCCCACAAACCCCTGATCAAAAGGGAAACACACACTGCCTACAACAGCCCTGATCAAGAACCCTACACCCTGGAACAGCATGCACCAGCCTCACCCCTCCCAAACCCCCGATCACGAGAGCAACACGCACCTCCGACGGGCGCGCCAATGAGGAACCCTGCTCCCTGGAACAGCATGCACCAGCCCATCATGTGCAGCAGGTTGTCGACGCCGAACAGTTCGACGGACATCGTCGCGATGTTGCTCAGCTGAGCGCCGAAGAACACGCCGTGTCCGCACAGTATGATCACGTAGTGGATGTGCTGGAGGTTGTAGATGCCGATGACGGCCGCGAACACGCCCGACGCCAGCGTCGCGAGGTTGAACACGCCGAGCGCGCGCAGCAGCCCCGTCTGCACGAGCAGGCCCGCCAGGGGACGCCCGAGGCAGTTGCTGATGCCCCAGACGCTGAGGATGTTTGCGGCCTGCGCACGCGACATGCCCTCGGAGACGATGTACTCGGGCAGCAGGACGAGCACGATGCTGACGCCAAAGTTCCACAGCAGCTGATTAACACAGAGCAATAATTATACACAGCCTTCATTATAAAATGATGAGACCATATATATATTTTATTATTGTAACCATGACAAAAATAAATAAATAAATAAATAAATAAATAAATAAATAAATATATATATATCTAATACATATTTATTAATGTTAAATAATAAATGTTTTAATATGACCACATGTGAATTTGAGCCCGCATGCCACGCCACGGCATGCCACGCCATGACACACCCCACCATGTGCTTCACCTGGTTCACGCCGAACAGAATGAACACCCAGTTGCGGAACATGTTCAGGTCACAGTTTGCCTTCAGCAGGTACCAGGTTGATGGGGGCTTCCGCGTGATCCACCGCACAGGCTTCATGAGCGCACCTACAGAGGAAGACATATTAAAACAAGAGAGCATGCTCATGGAGATGTAGATACATTGTAACAAGAATAAGCCAATGGATGCAGACACATTGTACATAATAGAGAGCATTCCAATGAGTGTGTAAACACATTGTAACAAGAGTGCATTTCCATGGATGTGTAGCCTACATATATTGTAACAAGAGAGCATGCCTATGGATGTAAACACATTGTAATAAAAGAGCAAGCCTGCACAGGTTAAAATTTCAGCATTATTATGTGTTAAGTGTAGGTTTACTTCGGCTTTATTGCAAATGGTATCATTCACTAAAACGGGAAATATCTAAAAACACTAACTACTAACAAATAAAAGGTACAAAATGGCGAATTTTTGACATTGCCAGCATGTGCGATATGGGTGTCGCGAGAGACATGTCATGAACACGAGAACTGCCAAGACACATACGCACCGAAAGCACACAGGTTGAGAGATATGCCACCCAGTATGAGCATGGTGCCTCTCCAGCTGTAGGCATCCACTAGATGCTGAATGAGCGGGGGAATCGTCAGCGAGCCGATGCCCGCTCCCAGCGTTGACACGGAGAACGCCAGGGGGCGCCACTTGTTAAAGTAGGCAGCTAATATAGCATAGCCGGGCGTGATGGCTAGACCGTAGCCGGTGCCTGTGTTTAAAAATGGATGATGTCAGATTGAAATGTCATATCGGCAGCGATAATTTTTACAGGCACGGTTATTATTTGTGTTACATATTCTTTGCCTTTTTCTATGATTTTGTGTCTTACCACCAAGAGATATCGCGCGATGAGATATATAATCTGAAATATACCTGTGATAATTCCGTAGGTTAACATGAGGTGGTATATATTGGTAGCAAATGAGCTAGCGACTAATCCCAGAGCAGAAATCACTCCGCCTATGATCACAGTCTTACGTGTTGACAGCACAGTGGCAGCAACTGACGCCACGGGGCCTGCAATGATAGCATGTGGCTAGTAACCATGCAGCAGATCTGACAGAACAGCAAAGGTTTTGCTGATATTTACATGTAATATAATACTGTTAACAGCCATAAATGGAAGCCTCATTGCCACAAGAGGCAGGTTAAGACAGCGTTCTGACTTATAACTAAACTATACTTAAATTAAGACATGTAACGATAAGAGAATATATATAACAATTGCATTGAGGAACACCATTAATATCAAGAGCTAATAATACCTACAGTGTACAACCGAAAAACGGGAAAATAGTTCTATTTCACGACAACATTATTCTACTTTGCCTGTATGTCTAGAATAATTTAATGGTATTGCATTAAGCAGAATTCTTTGCTTTCTAAGACAAGACCAACCGCTTGTCCATACGATACACCTAGGTTGAGATATTGGCTCCTAAACCTCCCCTCCCACATGCCTCACGCCGCCTCGCATCCACTTTATTCAGCTACCTTCACGCCCCTAAGCATTTTGGCTATCGGTTTCGGTCACCGCTTGGAGCACTGATAATTGATGTCACATGCACAAATTTGGTACTCTTACTACACCATATAGTAACTGAGCTGCGTTGTAAAGACTTAATTTAGAAAACATTGCCGGCTCCATCATGACGGGCATTAGCTGTGCTAGAAAAGATAATGGGAAATAAGGGCATAGGCGATGCCCCCGAAAGTCACCTATGATAACCGAAACGGCGTTCATTCATAAAGTCATCAGGGAAATAACCGAACATTCACGAAGCAACGCTTAAGGGCGTGAAGGTAGCTGAATAAAGTGAATGCAAGGCGGCGTGAGGCATGTGGGAGGGGAGGTTCAGGAGCCAATATCTCAGCCTAGGAGTATCGCATTGACAAGCGGTTGGTCTTGTTTTAGAGAGCAAAGAATTCTGCTTAATGCAATACCATGAAATTATTATAGACTCGCAGGCAAAGTAGAATAATGTTGTCGTGAAATAGCACTATTTTCCCGTTTTTCCGTTGTACACTCTAGGTATTATTAGCTCTTGTTAATATTTATATGGCCCGATCGATATTTCACAAATAAATTGGGGATAACAAACTTAGACATAAAGTCATATAAGAAATCTTAAAATTACTCTCAACAGTATCAATGGAATCAGATCTAAATTACCTACTTCTAGGATACATACATATATACTACAATTGTACATATACCCACAACTACTTCTAGGTTTACCTATGCCTAGCAGTATCCCGACGCTGATCGAGCCGACCCAGGCCGTCGTCGACTTGTACGTGTGCAGGTTCTCGAGCAGCACGACGTAGAAGATGCCGTAGGAGAGCGAGATTCCCCAGACGAGGAACTGCGTGAAGAAGGAAGCCATGAGCACGAGCCACGCCCAGCCGCGGTCCATGCCGTCGTCGTACATGTCCGTTGCCATGCCGAGCGCTCGCTGCTTCTCCCGTTCCTTGACGCTCGTTGCCTCGTCACGGACGTGATGCCAGGCCTCGCCTGCAAGAGAAGAAATGTAGTCACGTGAGCATGGCGGACGCCGAGTGTGAGCTGCTCGCCACGCACGCACGCACGCACACGCACGCACACGCACGCATCGTATTAGTGCATCCACGTGTCATTGTTTGTGTGTGCTAGAGTCATCTCTATTCGCGGCATGCCAGTGTCCGCACGTTGTCTCTATTTCGGTAGTTCTGCCTGGAAATGCTCGTTTCCATCACAGACTCGACGGCGTATTCCCCTAAAAGTGTCGAACATTGAAATACAGATAAACCTTTGTAGAACAGACACTTACCTATAACGGACATTCAGTATATCCATTGAGTGGTAGTTATGCAGTTAAACCATCTCTATAGAACAGACCCCTGTCTATTTATGACACTTTTGGAGGGTTTCCGTGAGTGACATAGCCTACCATGAAACCACCTCTAAAGAATGGCAATCTGTCTATAAAAGATGCTTGGTGTTTCCCGTGAGTGGCAGTCATACAGGGAAACCACCTCTATAGAACAGGCACTCGTCTTAGGAGGACATTCCCCGTTTCCCTTGTGGGCGGGCCACTTATGAGCAGATACGACAATATATAGTTAAATCGACTGTCCACTACTCATCAAATATGATACTCATGCACTGTACGTCTTTAGTCATCCAAGTATTTTCTTCTCGTTTGAGCCGTCTCTATTTGCTTTGTGTCTAGTTGCTACCCGGATCAATATATACGTACAGTTTTGGAGAGGATGGCTGGCACGGCACCACATGAGAAGTCACCCTGACTACGCCTGGCTGGTATAGCTTTGCTAAGGGTGTGAACAACATAGCTTTCTGCTGCAGACGTACAGCCGCAAGGATAAAGCTGCTTTGCCGGTATGGGTAGATAGACTAGTATCTCATAATCTCATTGGAGCCCGGTTATGGTTTATGGTATACAAAAATGAGCATCAATATAACTGAACTTACGTCACGCCCCACAAAATAGCCATAAATGTAAAAGAGTCCGTGCAGCAAGCCCAGTCAGCAGCTCTTTAAAAATCCCTTTCTGAAAGAACTGGTTTTCATTTCATTTTAGTTTAACAGTTTCTAATCCTGGCTCGGTATATATTTATGCTTGGGGTGGGGTCCTACTCCTATGTTCTGCTCTGGAAAGAATTGCATCGTAACTCTGCAAGATGTGCAATACTAGAGTCTAGACAGATTACCCTGTGCAGTATTTATGGTGCTCAGACAGGTTACTCTGCAAGCTGTGGAATTTATAGCGTTCATATTGTGAGACCAATCTGTGTCATGTGAGATTTGATAGTATCGAGCAAGATTTTCGCCAATTTTTGTCAATTTTGTGTGTGCGTGTTCAGGTGTAGTGTATACAAGTTCTGTTTGCTAAGTTCTTTTGTCAAGTGCAGCTTGGTTATAGCCTTGTTTCGTTTTAATTATTATTCTTATTATCCAGCCAAATTCCACAAGGACCTCATATGTAAGGTAAAATGCCAATTAATGTCTAAATCGCTCTAATGTCGCTAAAAGCTATACTAATTTAGCAAACAAACGTATATCGAATATGCACATTTATACGTTTGTTTGCTAAATGATTAACCTCCCCCTCCACCCTCCTTCCTCTTCCAGACCTAAAGTCACACTACTCCCTGCCCTCCTTAATTATTACTAACCCCTCTCCATCTCCTCTCTTGCCTCCCTATCTATCCAATCCCCTTCTCATGTCCGCACGCCAACAAGATCTCTAACCCCAATGTGTAACCGCCCTGTCCTGTCACATTGTATTCCCATAAACCACTATGATCTGATCACCATCATGCCTGTTTATGATGGTGATGGTTATGTACCGGCTGACTGACGTAATACGTCACAGCTTCCTGCCTTCCCCAGCTGCTTGCACAAACCAAAATCGTGCCTAGCCATGCAGTGCAGACACACAAAGGCCTATTGAACCAGAGCAAAACTCTGGTGATGGAGCATTTCTAATAAATGTACTGTACCTGGTGGTTCCAAGCAAAATACAAACGCACCAGCGTTCAAAATAAGTCTGCAAACCCGGCCAGCAACCTTATAACATATAATAAATCAACAAATCCCTATAGTGATATCTATAAAAACGAGACAGTTCTGCTCAAAAGCTACCAGTCTAGGAGTGGGGTGGGCTGCTGTTTCCAATACTGAACTTACGACCGTGGCAGTGAGTCAGCAAGATTTTATCTGTCACTGACTCACTGTTACTGTTAGACCTTTATTAATTTGCATTCTCAGAATTTTTTACTTGAAATTTTATTCATTGGGAAATCGGTGGATATGGTTGCATAAAAGTGGACTCTGTATGTATAAACACGTTAATTACTGCTTTATAACATGATCGCTGTTACCCTTAAATACACAACCCCTGATGACTCAGTTTTGTGGGAGGGCACAACCATGGGTTAATATTGCTTGGATGAAGCCCTATGGATACAATTGCACTGTTTACACTATATATACACTAATAATGGTATATATAGTAACTTATCATCAAGCATACGCCATATATTCGGACTGTACACCTACATATGGTACACATCAGTAATGTGGTTGAAAGATATGGCATTAAATTTTTTTTCGTCAGTGAATAAGTGCATGGGCATTAGTTCTATATTCTACAAGCTGCTTCCGCCTGTTTAAGGTGAACGAAAAATAGACACGGAAAGCCTATGATTTACTGCCACAAATGCGGAAATTAATCCAGGTACTTCCAACTGGATATATCCTGCAGTGAAATGCTAGCTGCCTCTGCTAAGAGGGGATCGCAGTTTATAATCAATACTTCACTTCAACTATTCACCTTAGAGCTAGTTCACATAGTTGTAAATTAAATGGTCCAAGGAGAATTTAGGCAAAAACGGTTCCTAGACATTTGCTGATTAAAACAGCTATACAGGCTGTCTAGCATTATAAGTGCAAGGTGCGCCAAGGCATGGTCTTGGTAATCAATATTGACATAACCAGCTCCTGACATAACCGATCAGCTGATGCTAACCACCCTTTAGAGAGAGATTAGGGGGATTTAGCCCCCCTCTTCCATCTTCCAGCTGGCGGTCACCTTGTATGTCAGCTGAATAATCAGCTGAAGCAAATCAGGTAGCTATAGCTCACAACTACGGCAGTGCAACATGGACATCATCTCTATCCTTGAACCCTAACATGTACTATAATAACAAATAGCCGTTAAATCTTTCACTAAATTGGCTGGAAACATGATTTTCACTAACTCTGGTGTTTCTCTGATACCAAGGAAGATGTGATGGCTGGGGGTGGGCAATCATACGCAACCTCACCAGACTGCTATGACAGATCATGCAGTAGCAGGTATAATAACTGATATGTTAATTATAACGAAGTGACTATATGCCTGGCAGCCGGGCACGGTCTTCGATTTCCTAAATGCCCGGCAGTTTTTAATTTTCGGTGATTTCTCAAGTAAACAGTGTACTACGTGATCCAAAGTATTCTACATTTGTTTAGAAATGTCAAGCGATTTTCGTTAGAGCTGTATATTCGAACTAGCCCAATTCTCCTAGATACAATAATGTAACCCAAACCCAAGAGGACCCCAAGGGGGGGTCCTATCCTCTTGGGTTTGGGTTACATTATTGTATCTAAACTCTCCTAGCTTCGGATCACTGAGCGAACGAACTTGCAATCGACACTTAGAAAATATCTGACGGCTGCCCGGCACGGTCTTCGATTTCTAAATGCCCGGCAGTTGTTAATTTTCGGTGATTTCTCAAGTAAACAGGAGGTTAGGGTTAGGGTTAGGGTGCCGGCTGCCGGGCATGCATATAGCCACAGCGTAATTATAACTCTACTCTAGATCGTGATTGGCGCATTTTTACGACCAACTGGTCGAATTAAGTGGTGATAAGAATATTAAGTGAAGGCTAGAGCTACACTGGTCAAAAATATACAAGTAGTTTCGCCCTATAAATTATAATACAACCTCACGGCGTGAACGTTGTGAACGCAAACAGTCTTTACATCGGGTACCACGAACTTGAGTTGTGAATTATTAATATTACTATTATTAGGATAACCATAGGAATAACCGATAAGGAACCCCTGTTGGCATGGTTACGAATTCACAGCTAGCGTTGTGAAGTTTGGATTATGTAAAACGAAACTACGACATAACCCAATTTACAATTTATATAATCATATTTACTATAAATTTAATGAATATGTACTATCGTACTTACACACGAGTCACGACTAAGCGTCATGCATCTCAGACCATGATACGGCATACTTTACTTACTCAATTAGTCACTACGACACACAACAGAGCGTGCGGCTTGGTATGGCCATCTATGGTATGCCAGTATGGCCTACGTGGTGTTTTCCGCCGGTGTGTTTACGTTTTGTCGCGTCTACTTTCGCCCGCAGATAGAGAATACGTTTCAATCAGAACAAAGCTCGAAAGCAGCCGCATTCCTGCTGGAGCAGCCGACTCCATAGCTCTAGTAACTATACTATAGCCCGCGTACGGTTGCCGCACGCCTGCGGCACCCGTACGCGGGCTATAGTTACAACAGCTACCGACTACACAGCCCAGTCAGCTGACTGCTGCGGTACCGGTTCAATCCAGTATGACCCAAGGACAGCTTAGAGAGCTTGTTTGCATCGCCGTATGAATGGCTCTCGCGCATCCGCGGGACACTTACCCATTTATAACCAGTTTTACCCGTTAATAACGCACGGGAAAATTGTCTTCCGCTGCAACCATAGATGCTGCAACGAATTCGAACGCACGCACAACAACACCGTCAGTCCGCCGCACAGCGTCACCGACTCGCTCCGCGTCAACTAACGGTCATCATGGCGCCTAACGCGCATGTATACAAATTCAAGGTCCAGATTCTTTGTACGAAATATACGGACTATAGGCCAATTATTTCTTCACGTGATAAAGTAAAATAAAATAAAAACATACTACGTTAGTACGTAGATTAATGATGCCACGTACAAGTATTTTCGTTATCCTGATATACTAAAAATATTAGTATTTGAGCTTTCCAACTTTCCAGCTTCCACTCAGCCTTCCAGCTCAGTGTCCAGTTGCCTAGCAACTAGGAACTATCGATTCGCGGCACTGTTGCTGCTTCGGTTGCTCAGCACCGTCCGTAGCTCAGCACAAAGACCCGAGAAAATAGCAAAAGCGTACAAATGCAGGCCCAACAAGAAGGGTAGTGTACGTGCATTGCTTTCTGCACGGAGCGCGGTCCCAAATGGACTTTACTCAAAACAAACTATTTTAAATCATTAAATCAATAATAATGGAAATGGATCAATCAATAAACCATATATAATATATATATATAATAGGCTACGGCCTCCATCCTAAATATAGAACGCCCCCGGCTATAGTAGGGGCCTACATGCGTGCATGCGTGTGATATGTAATTATATTTATAAGGCCACAGCCGTAGATTTATACAAAAACCCCGATAGATGGCTTACTTACGCTGAGAGGGTCTATGGTCTATATGTCCACCGGGGCTGCCGGAACGCACCCTGGGTACGGTACGGTATACCGGAACGTACCCTGGTAACTATCTGATATGGTTAGGGTTAGGGAGTAGGCGTAGGCGTAGGTGACATATATGTACCTGAGGTAACTATCTGATATGGTTAGGGTTAGGGAGTAGGCGTAGGCGACTCCCTAGACTCGTTATTGGAGTAGGCGAGGTACGGTCCGCCATATTATTAGACAGTACCAGGGTACGTTCCCAACTTCCGGCAGTACCCAGGGAGACATAGACCATGGCAACCTTACTTACATATCTCATTTTATATTTTGCATGTATTTATCTATTTACATATGTGTATCTATTGCTACGTACGCGAATATGCACTCAATTAACAAATATCTGAAGGGACGGTAGGTAGGGGGCGGCCGGGTATGGTTGGCCATCGTACTCAGAAATAATTATTTTTACCGCGGTAAAATTATAGCCTTTTAACCCAATCAATCAATCAATGGCAATGAGAGGGTTGACGGAAGACCGAACAGAAGAAACTCATCTGTAAGGAAGGACACGGAATGATCTGGGAGGGTGATGACTGCGATGAATAGACAGCAGGAAGAGGAAGAGGCAGGGAAGACGCGTCTATAATAGCGAGATGAAAGAAACTAAGGAAGCAGTGAGATTCAGATCACGGCAGAAGGAAGGGATTAACAAATAGACGAGCCGAGAGAAGGGAGAGCGAGAAGAGGGAGGGGAGGGGATGGAAATCATCAAAACTGTGCCAGCCCCTACTGACTAAGCCATCGCACAGCTAAGATTTATTTTCAGTAATACCACGAATCATAAACTGTTTACACATTCAATTCAAATGACTTACAGTAGTCCGAAAATCCGGACTGCTCGTGGATTGCATCGGTCCGAATTTTCGGATTTTCCTGATACTCGGGAATTACTAGTAAAATTCAAATTTAAGGAGGAATAAAGAAGAGATGAACAGGTAAAACTAAGAGATGAAACTACGAGATGAATAGGTAATTTGAACATCGTATGCTTGAAAATAACCAGGAACCCTAATAAATAAGGAAAAATATAAAGCAGATTATATGTGACACAAAATGCAACGCTGTAAGTGGAATTTGGAAAATGCCTCCCACATCTAACCATTGAACCTACACAGTGGTGATCAGGTGATGATAACCATGACAATGTTAGTTTTGGTGAATAACACGTACCAAGTATATATACTACAATTGAACTTATTTTGCACTTTTCAATGCCACCAGATAGGCACGTTTATTTTATCCAGTATTCGCATAGTAAGGTCAAACAGGAAAGGTCATGCACAGAAGACTGCGCCTTTTTAAATCGCATTTCGCACACAAGTGTGCGACAAACCTATGGGAACTGCGCAGACATTGCCACGGCAGGCCTGGGAACAGCTCAGATAGTTTTAGTTTTAGTTGCTGGAATGTTACCGCTATTCCGATGACATAAAACATTCTCACGATAATGTACCTACATAGGCCTATATATATGTGTGTATACATATAGCATATAATAACATGCCGGCGTCACACACAACGCTAGTTCATCACAGATCGCTGATCGTGTAAAACCAATATACACGTTTTAATGGTTTACACGCGATTGTCTTAGCTACACCCTTCCTTGCATACACAAACAAATCAATTGCCCAATATTGGCAAGTAAAATCAGGTCTCCGCTATGACAATACGGTTAAATATGGCATGGGTGCATGTCACAAATGGCGAATTGCTATACACTCTGCACATCCTATGAAGCCATGGCTCTATGGTTAAACAAACTACTAACAAGGCTGTTGACGACCAGTTATAAATAAAATAAATATCTAATGTACATAAATCTCTTTCCATTTATACATATATATATAGATATCCTAATATGGACAAAGATCCTCGCATTCAGGAATGTAATTATTACTAGCATAAGAATAGCAATAGAGAGCCGTGTGTATATATTAGTACATATGGTAGACTGCTGTGTAAATATCATATTTACCAAGAGCAGGATTTTATACTAGGAATGATACCGACACAACAAGCAAGCCCGTGCTGAACATGTTTCGCATTCTACTTTGGCACTGGAACAAAATAGACTCGACAAGCAATGCAGTCAGATCGGGTAGGCAATACAAAGACATATTGGCACAGTACATGTAGGCAATACTTCAATATTGCCTACCCAATTGCAATATATACCTGTGGTTTAACACATTATCAAATGTATCTTAGTGGCGCAGACAGTATGGTCCACAATACTTTTAACTTAGCTCAAACCTACCCTTAGCTTTACTTAGCCTTGAAAATAAGTACTTCTCTATAATTAGTCCTCAATTGTTTATACTCTGCCTTGGAACAAACTTGATATTAGTGTTAGGAACACAGGAGCAACTGATATTGAATCAGTATGACAGAACCATTGCACCCCCTACGACCTTTAGATCTCTACTTGAACTTCAAACTTCTTCAAGTACAAGATCAAGTTATGCACAGCAAGTATCATAGATCCTAATCATCTGCACTACTCTATAAGCATTCAAGCTATAGGAATACGGTACCTTATATCTTAACATTTAGCTACAGATATGCACTTTCGACGCTTAGCAATAGCCTAGTAGCACTTAATCTGAAATCTCCTTCACGTCTGACCATTCTTTCTGCTATAATCCTATAATAGACACGCATATACTAATACACGAATACACACACGAATACGCATACACGAATATAAGTTGTTGTTTCATTCCACGTAAGCACCCACATAATTACCCACAACCATTTACGATTCTGTGTGATAGACAACTGCTGGTATCGTCCTTCTATTATACGATCACCTACCTAAGCGCCTTACCGCATTACACGTTGCATCTTTTATGCACATGAATTTTTCCATCGTTTACAACCTGTAACAGCGTAAAATTGCCTGCACTTTGGGGCAACGCTAACAGACCCACATTGAATACACGACAAATGAATAAATGCAGGTGACGAAAGACGAACACACAGAGCGAGAACAATTCGCGACTCTACCATCTGTAAGGCACCTCTACAGGGTTCTAATCGAATATCGTAGCAATTCACGCTTCTTTTCTAACATATTTGAGCAGTAAACTCATCAGGCACATGCGACCTTGCCACGCCACGCAGCTACCGCGCGCGACCTTGTTTAGCCCCGTAACTACCACGCGTGACCACTGTCACCGCATGCGACCGCTGTCATGCCACGGGTCACGCTACGCACAAGTTCGGTCCTTACCGTCGTCGTTCATCACGTATCTAGGCCACTCACACAAGTATCCGTCACGACTGGCAATACGAACGTGCGATTCTGCGAGCGGGGGCGGGGACGTCGAGTCGTGCCGCGTCGGTGCGCGCGCATCGTGTAGATGTGACGCGGGCGAAGCAAGGGTAGATCTCGCCCCCCGGGTGACGGCGGCGGCGGCGCGTTGTTCGCACTCACATCGATCTGCGGCTGACTCGCGGCACAACGCACGAGCGCGCACGTGCTGGCTATTTGTACGGCGACTGCTTGAGTGACCTCATTAGTCGTCTCTTCAGCTCACCGGGAAACCTCTCGTAGCACTTCTTACAGACGGGTTTCAGGTCGAATTCGTAAAACTTGGTCCTATAAGAGCGCAGGGAGAACAAGAGAGAGAGAGAGAAAGAGCTGTGAGTAGACCTCCCAACGAATAAACGTCGAAACGAGTAGAAGCTCCGCGAGCGCTTCGTCAAAAAGACCGTAAATAGTCGATGATGCTCACAAGTCTAAAATGTCGTGACTTCTGCACAACACTTCACTTCGAAAGTCATGACATTTTATACTTGTGATGTCATAACTGGTTATGACGTTTCTGACAATGCCCCCCCCCCTCCTGCTCGTCATTTCTGTAGGGATAATGTTACGCGTGCATCCCGTAGCCAACCGCAGTTTTCGCGTTGAACTTTTCTGACAGTACTGATTACTTGTCACGCAATTATCGGCGTGCGAGTCGGGTCCCCTTACCAAAATCAGATTATCTCTTGTTGCTATGTAACTATGAAACTAAACTGGTCGTGACCGGTACAATGAATCAGAGTAAAGGTATGTTTACCCCTCAGTGCGAAACCCAATTGGTTTGAAATTTGAGCAGAAAATAGTGTAAAGGTCAATTGGAATGCTTTATTCAAACACGCTGTCTATGTAAACGGTGCACAGGGCACTGAAGTTTCGCGTACATATACTGGCAACCTATAACAAATATATGCAGAAGCTATGCAGATATTGACTAACATCATTTGAATGTATAGGTATGGCCACTTGTATCCCTGTGACACATCAGACAAATTCAGGCACGTTCAATTAAACTAAGCCAGAATGTAAGAACTTGGCACTCTTCATGAAAAAATGGATGCGCTGGCCTTATTGATAGAGATCTACGATTTATGTTATAGAGATTTGAATCTGCATGCTGGCTGTTATAACATGCAATTACAAAATGTCTATAACATTTACTGTATTTCTGTATCAATTTATATTGTGTTCTTTTAAGTTTAATGTTATAATCTATTTTAATTAAAATGTTTTTAAGAAAATTATAAAGATTACATTTATACATAAATATATACATAAATTTAAACAACATGGACCTAAAGCGATGAGACCTACCGATCAACTCATATTATCTCTGTTTTCTCATTATCTTATGTCTGCTTTACACACCACACAGATGCATGCATATGAGTAGACATGCGCACACACTGTCGCCTGCACTCCTACAAATGTTTGCGAAAAGTAAATGCACACAAAAGATAGAACGATAAAAAATTCAAAATTACCTTGGACCCATTTTCTGATCACATAGAGAACATGAAAAGTGTGGCACGCACCAGCTCTTGTTAAGTGCTTGGAACACTGCAAGAAAAGCAAAAATAAATTAATTAATACACGTATTGATTTTATCAATGCACTGCGAAACAAAACCTTGGTTAGGTTTAGCATAACACAGATGCTACGATCCAGTCTTGCAGCTACTTTTTTAAACTATAGAATGACATAATCTACTTGGATATCATCAAATCCTTAGTCTGCACGTCTATAATGCATACCGTAGTTGAGTGTTACATGTTTAACGTTCCATGATATAAGATTGCCTTTCTTAAACAAACATGTCGATAATTAGTAGTTGAGATGTAAACAAGGTCATGTCTTCCCATATTTACATTACTGCAACAGGGATGGATTGTCAATAGACTTGCATTCTCCTTAAAATAGGTAAGTAAAATAATAAAGTAGTAAGTAAAGGATTAAATAAGTAAGTAACAAAAATATGTCCCTCCCACCTATAGCAATAATCCAACGTACTTTATTTATTACATAACTAACTAAACTTTAAAAAGCAAACCAAATTTTTAATCCAAGAAGACATTTTTTTCTATTTATGCTAACGTGGGTATCCAAAATTGCAGGTTGAATTTATGAAACATAAATACATATGTGTCGCTGTTTACCATTTTGTGAACGCAAGTCTCCCAATATATTTGAACATACACATTCCCTATCTTATTTCTCTAAGCATAGAGGGTGTGCAATTACGGTCACCATAAATTACCCGTAATAAATTAGAGTTCATCGCAACATATTCTCTCAAATTTACTGTTTTTCCCACGTTATATACACTGTAATGCCTATTCGAACATATGTTAATGTAAAAAAATATATTATCATTAACATTATTATTATTATTAATATTATTACTAGTACTATTATTCATATTATTATTATTATTATTATAAATAAGACCTACCGTCTCCCGTGACAACTTGGTTGCAGACGAAGCAAACGTTTCCAAACAGCTTATGGTAGTGTAGTTCACAGTAGGCTTGTCCCTTCTTCTCAAAGTGCCTGCTGCCGAGGAACGGCTTCTCACACTTTGCGCAGACAAAGTGCTGAAAGCAACGAAACGGAATCACTCACACGAAGGTAAACTATTTATAAGCAAAATACTTATGTGGTGGTAGAAGACGATTGTCGCGAGTCGAGATATGGGTCTGGCACTTCTCAAACAGTATTGCATGTAACATATTAATTATTTTTTTCATTTTAAATCTTACTTTTCATAAACATGAAATATTCTTTCGATAGATCAGGGTTGTCACGAATGGTATCCGATAACAGGACTATGCTGTTCAATGAAAATTGTATCACTAATAATATTGCAAGTGATAACTAGTTATTTATATCAATGACACGATAATCGCCACACGATGGCGCCACGTGCCTGCTTAGCATTCCTTGGATGATGGGAGTCTTGACTGTGCTTAGCTTACCTCTACATGCCACTGCTTGCCCATCGCGTTGACAATACGAGCGTCCTCTATCGGCCGTCGGCACGCGCCGCATATCGGAATTCCCATCTTGTCATGACATCGCAAGCAGTACAGTTCCCCATCTTTCTCTCTGGCATTTAAATTCAACTCCACACTGCAACAGTAGGAGCAACATAACAAGATAGGTTTGTAGGTAGGTTAGTAGGTAGGTATGTAGGTATGCAGGCAGGTGGGCAGGCTCGCACCCTAGTAAGTGTGTGTGGGGGGGGGGAGGAGGGGGTTGTAATGCATGATCATGATATTAATCCCAGATAGCATATCTTTACTCTACCAAATAATATAGCTACTCTACAAACGCTATTCCAAATTTAGAATATAATGGAGTGAGTGACAAATACTAATATTAACAATGTTACTGATTTGATATTTACTGATCTTGAATACTGATTACTCGTAGGATAACCAATAAACAATATCAAATAACAGAGCTAGTAAGTAGAACATAAAACTTTACGGACATTATCTGTACTAAGCAGATAGACGTCGGTTAGGATTACAAGAGATACTGGCTAAAATGCTGCATTCGACATTGATAACAATTATGCTAAACAAGGGAAATTCAGTCTAGTAAAGTTTCAGACACTTACCCACATGTTTTACAGTTGAAATGGTATGGATGATAAACTTCACTCTTATATTTAATGTGGCCCTCCTCACAGACCGTGCTGAAAAGGACGAGAGATGACGTCAGTTAGTTGTGCTAGCAATGGCGGTAGACTTGCTATGGAATATAATGGCACACACTCTATTAACCCGATGGTAGCTACCATCCCCTGCTCACATCATTCCTTATCTGATTATATTCAGTGAATATAGTATCGCATCAACAAGAATAATGTTGAGACACTAATAATTCACAATCTTTTCTGCCTCCCGAATTTAAATGTTACCATTACTGCAACGCTACGTCCAACACCTACCTAATCGAGATCCACAACTCCAATTCTAACCACAACCACCCAGTTTAGACATGATTGCAAATTGCCAAAAAACTACTAGCCATGGGCTAGCAGACATTCATTTAGGCTAACAGATCGCAAGTTCTGGTAGCCGGTTTGGCTAACATTAAATCTGAATCACATGGTGAATGCTGGGTGCAAATCAGCCTTATTTGCACGATAAACGTTTTGGCTAGTGGATGTATGGAGTGGCTAGTAGACGCTCACACCAGCTAATTAACTCTAGCCACCCTATTAAACTATAAAAACACAAGTTTCTAACACTACAACTACAAAGTCATCCCACACTAACAACTGATCTGTTATGTGACTCCCACTGGCACTTGCACTTCTGTTCCTCCAAAAGCATTTTATTGCATTTGCCCATGCATCTGTATCTGACCACAACTCTGGGGATCTAACCATATAACACACCATCATGCCCATCCACGAAACGAACCATCCTGCGCATTCAAGAACCTGTAACACTTGTGGCACATGAACTTCCTAGTGCTCACAGCCTTCCCCCTCCCTCACCCCACACCCCTACATTTACCACTCACCCCACATCCTACATCTACCCATCCTTTGACACTCACTGGCACTTGTGGCCCATGCACTTCCACATTCCCACCGCCTTCCCTCCCCATTGCCCCACACCCCTATATCTTCTACCCCTCACTCGCGCCCCTCCATCTACCACTAACCGACACCCCTACTCATCCTCTACCCATCCTCTGACACTCACTGGCACTTGTGGCACATGTATTTATCAGTGCCCACAGCCTTCCCTCCCCATTGCCCTACACCCCTATATCTACCCATCCTCTGACACTCACTGGCACTTGTGGCACATGTATTTATCAGTGCCCACAGCCTTCCCTCCCCATTGCCCTACACCCCTATATCTACCCATCCTCTGACACTCACTGGCACTTGTGGCACATGTATTTATCAGTGCCCACAGCCTTCCCTCCCCATTGCCCTACACCCCTATATCTACCCATCCTCTGACACTCACTGGCACTTGTGGCACATGTATTTATCAGTGCCCACAGCCTTCCCTCCCCATTGCCCTACACCCCTATATCTACCCATCCTCTGACACTCACTGGCACTTGTGGCACATGTATTTATCAGTGCCCACAGCCTTCCCTCCCCATTGCCCTACACCCCTATATCTACCCATCCTCTGACACTCACTGGCACTTGTGGCACATGTATTTCCCCG